TCTCTGAATTCCCAACCATCTCCGCCACCATCACCGCCACCAGGAGAGAGAAAGGGGATAGGGAGAGAGGATGGCGACCCCTCTATGCTCGGACAACAGAGGGAGTCGAAACAACATGTTCTTATTGAGATTTTTAAATTCAGTTAACCTTTCCTTTCAACTTAGAAATAGATTTCATTCGACTCTCTCTCTCTCTCTCTCTCTCTTTCTCTAAAGTTTCCTGACTCCTGATCATCCATCGCTTTGATTATGTCTAGCCTGACTACAGAAATGTCATTGTCTTGGAAATGTTATAACAGACAGCGGAATATGTGACACCGAAATCCGAAGTATTGCTAGAATCACGATAGATGTCCCCTAAAAGATAAACAAAAAGGCACAAGAGCATTACGTTAGAATCTGATAAAATAGTTTTGACTTTATATGTAATATCAATTCTCCGGTATTTCAGTGAATGCTGGACACTTCTTTCACAGAGGCAAGAGAGATATGTTTGTATTGGGAGCTGCTGAGAACACTATGGACGTGATATGTGTGTATCGACGAAATTTTAAATAAGATGTGAAAGGAAATGAAACTTGTACTTTGAATTAGAAATAAAGTTAAAATTTCTACGGTGCATAATGTGAAAAGAGAGCTAGGAAAATGTGACACTCACAAGTCAAGTTGGTCATAGAGAAACAATGTGTAATCTACGTATAGAATGTGTGTATATGGATGGCATATGGAATCTATAGTAAAAGGATAAATATTTTTTTGAGATACAAAGGATATGAAGTTGTGGAGAGTCATGATCGTCTATGTCCCCAAGAAAATTCATCTGTTCGTTCTTGCACGATTTAAAGTACTCAGTAATTTTGACGCATTATGTTCGGTTGGAAAACAATATGCAGTTATCTGTCTGTATTTCTGAGATGAGGTATTATGTACACTATTTACATTATTCGGACTATTGGCCTCATCTTTGTCGCCATGTTTATCACAATGTTTCGGTCGTAGTACGCTGCGGCCTTCTTCAGTAAGACCACCCCCATAGAGGAGAACATGACTAAAGACTGCGTGTACTGTATCTAGTGCGGCTGCGGTAAGAAATATAAAGTGAGAGAAAATGGATATCAAGAAATATAAAGTGAGAGAAAATGGATATCATCGCCCTTTGTGGGATCAGGAGGAGATCATAGACAAAGAACATCATTGGAAAATTCGTAACCTTATGGAATCAGCACATATTCTAGGCGACAAAAATCCCCTGAGCCGACCAAGCATAGAAATGGATACAATATGGGAACCAGTAATAAGGAGTGCCTGAGAAAACAACAACAATTGCAATATGAGCTCTGGTAAAAATAAATGGAATGATAACAGCAAAATTTGCAATATGAGCACTGGTAAAAAAGATATTATGTTTATAATACCCAGAAATTCATAGAAAATGTCCTCAAGGACACATGGCACAGTGGATAAAGACGCTGGTTAGATCCAGTGACAGTACCCAAAGAGTGTGAGTTCAATTGGAGAAATTTCAGCGGGGATTTAATAGGAGATAACTGACATCCATTAGACATGGCACGTTGAACCAGAACAGTCTACCTCAGTGAGCGAAATAAATGGTTTAGTTCGATATTCCAACCACCTGAAGAAACCCGGGGTGTACAACGGCCGAAACGTTATGGTAAACATGGCGACAAATATGAGGACAGTAGTCCAAATAATGTAAATAGTGAATATACAGTTATATTTTCTTGTTTATTTTTTACGTTTCAACATCTATAACTGAAGCTCTTCGTCAGGGGTCTGTAGTATTTACAACGTATGTTACACAGAATCCAGTATTTTCCAAGGGAGAACATTTCATTCTTCCCATATACCGATGGTCTTAACGATTTCAAGTAAAGAATTAATAAATTCCTACCAAATATATCTTCGTAATATTTGAAGCTGCGTTAAGATCCAAAGGAAATCCCAAAAATATATGTAGGAATGTAACTGGGAACATATAAGCTACTCAAATAGATAATCCTTTAACGAAAGAATATTCAAATAACACAGCCCTTTTGAAGTATTTATAGAAAAACCAAATCCATAAAAGAATACAAATCATAGCCAAAATACTATGAGCAAGAAGAGAAAAAGAACGAAATCACTGCAACCGCTCAAAACGATGTAATATTTACGTGGAGGAGAAAATAGCCATGACCAACTTTCCAGAACCTGATGAATTCCGAAACAATAAAGAAGAAAGAAGTGCTCATTTCCAACATGCATATACGAAAAAAAACTCCTACTTCGCTACTTACAACCACATCTTGTATTAAAAATTCTAAATAAAATCTCGTAAAATTAATCTAGTAAACACTATTACAAATGCAGAAAGTTTTCCCCAATGAAAGTATACGAAATTAAATATAGAAAATAAATAAATTAAATATTAGTTTATACATATATTCTTTCATTTTATTCTATTGTTCTGAAAAGAAGAATTTTTCGTGTCCTGTCCATTTAAAATTACCCTTGTCTGGCCAGGAAAACGCAGTTACTAACCGACAGAGGGGTCGGCTTGGATCGCATCATGTTGATCGGCGTTTCTTGTAGTTTTTTGCGATCAGTCCGGATCTTCCCTTCGTTTGTCAAAGATAGTTTGTCCTAACGTCAAAATAGTTTTATTGTTTACAAATTTAAATGTAAGTATGAATCTGAATATGTAGGACGAACCAATCATCGACTCAAGACCCAGATTGGTCAACACGTTCCTAATCGCGTAAGACATGTTTTTTTTTCGTAATTTGCGAGATAACTATTCTGGGCATGATTCGACTATCATTCAACACTTGCTTGGTAATCAGAATAGTGCAGCAAAATACGTGAACGATTCGTTCATTTTTTTATACAGACCCCAGAACCTACAACATTTACGCTTACTAGAAGCGGTCCCTATTAAATTACATCAAGCGTCAATGGACAAGCGGAAAGAGCATTTAATTCGCTATCTCTGTCTTTTAGGAGGTCATGAGTAAACTTGTTCCTGTTTACACTCAGCTAGAACCATTTAGCTTTTATTCGTACCCCCTCACACTTTATCCCTCGTTTTATTAACGAATATTTTACCAATAAATGCATGTTTTAGTCGTGGTTCCCTTTTTGTCAATCAACTTCCCTAACCATTTTTCTGATGAGGCGTATATTCAAATTTGTATATATGTATTGTGGAATCAAATCTTTGTTCATATATATATATATATATATATATATATATATATATATATATATATATATATATATATATATATATATTGTCATCCCCAGACAGACTGTTTCACTGTATCACAGCTCTTCAGTGTTGCTAGACATCCGGTTGCTAAGATCGAAAACCGATTGAGTTGGCGTCAGTCGGAGATTCCACTGTTACGCCGTCGAAGGTGTATTTTAGCGTATTTATTGTTAGATAAACACACAGACGATTCGCTTTACCGAAGATTCTTGCTATAATAGCCGTAGTAGTCACTGTTTACAAGCCAACACTTCCTCCCCCAGAGAGCACAACCGAAATTAATTTTCAGGAGCCTATATATATTGTCATCCACAGACAGACTGTTTTGCTGTATCAGCTCTTCAGTGTGACTAGACGTCCAGTTGCCTCTAGCTAGGATCGAAACCCGACTGAATTGGCGTCGGAGATTCTACCACTAAACCGTCGATGAAGGTGAATTTTAGTATATATATATATATATATATATATATATATATATATATATAATATATATCTGTTATATATATATATATTTGTTTGTCATCTTGTTACATCATCTTGAGCAAACCGTTCGTCGGATTGGCATGAAAATTCACACACAGATCGGAAATTTACGGCATTCGTATTTGACGTCTTCCGATTTTTCGATTCTTCCTCCAATTTTGAATCAAATCGATAAAGCTAATAGGAGGTCGCATATTGATTCGAAAAAAATTCATCAGTTTTTCAGTGATAGTTTTCACAAATTACAAGTGATATCATACAAAGTCACATTCAGTAATATCCTTACTGATAGTTTTGAGGGGCTGTTCTTTGTTTTTAAAAATGGATATCAGTTGTCGGAAAAAAAATCGATCACTTTAGGACATCCGATTCAAATCCACAGTTTCTGATTCCCGTTGAGCATAGTATTTACCGACATTATTGAGGTGCTGATTTTCATTTGAAATATCGGTTTCAATTATCGGATAAAAACCGGTGAAATCATACCCCTTTGGCTTCCCATTCAAATTGAGTTTACCTGAATTTGGCGATGTTGCTTGGGGTTTTGATTAACTTTATTGACTTTAGTTGTGACAATTAAAACTTTTGCCCTCTGAGCTCCTTTGTGACCAACTAATACCTGAGGGAAGTCGATACAATCTTGTCTTCATCGGAATTTGCGAATACACCAATCAAACGCATGTTCAACTGAGACGTCTACACTACAGACTCTACAGCTGATTGTTATTCACACACGCGTGACCATGCTTCACATAGCGGTATCTCATTGGCTGATTGCAGTATACAGTCACCGATTGGTGTTCGACACCCTAGGACGCTTGATGATTGGTACAACCGATTGGCCAGTAATACTTCGCATTTGAGCCTGCTGTGCACAGCTGTGGGACGTAGGTCTCAATTCTGGTCCTGTTACGCCGCCATCCGGTTGATACAATAGACTCCATCAACTGATCATTTCTCCTACCGCAAGTTGTTTTTTACGTTTTTGTTTTCCGTTTGTCTGTTTAACTACATTTTTCCAACTACCATAAACAATTTATTAAGCTGTTTTACTTAAATACCTGCCTTCCCGATTCTGGCTCACGGTTTGCGTTAATAAGTTAGACTTTGTACTCGTGGAATTAAGAAACCATAATCAACCACTACTAGCATGACTTTTCCCCATGCCGCCAAAAAGTAGGGTACGTCTTAGCCTTCGGTCTGCAAGAGCGTCCGTTATGAGGGCAAGAAGGGCCCGCGAGTGCCTACGATGCGACTGTCACAGGTTGCGTTGAGCGACCTGTTCTCGCAGGCCTCTCAGTCAAAAGAGGAGCGTGCCACCTTCAGAGCTTCGTTGCGATCAAGGCTCAAGAATGCACAACGGTTGAAAATGAACGCACAGGCTGCAGCAACTACCTCAGCATCTTCTTCGTAATGTAAGAAACATAGCTGCCACTGCGGAATCAAGGGCAATAGAGACACTTGACCACAGGCGCGCCCGTCAATCCAGGGACGCTTCTGCAACAGCGACCACTAGGGCTACTGAGACACCTTTCCCTATGCCTGTTCGAAATGCTGCTACCACTGCAGGTCGAAGTCATCTGAAACATTTGTCCGCAGGCGTGCTCGTCAATCCAGGGACGCTGCTGCAACAGCTAGGCCGAGGGAATCCGAGATAGAGCTGCAGCGGGCAACTCGCAATTCCCACAATGCTGCAGCGACTTCTGCTACCAGAACATCCGAGAGCCCACAGTCAAGGGCAAACAGACTTTCATGGGCTGCTACAAGCATGGCCGCTGTGCGCTTATCTCAAACTCCCCAAGCTCGCCGCATACGCCTCGACGGGGACATTCAGAGCCTTGCGACCGCCCGTGGTATTACCTGTCCTGGTAGCTCTTTTTAGTCTTCAATTACGACCCCGGCATTAACTTAACTACGCGTGATGACCTCAATGCGGGTCCATGACCTGCGTTTGCCAGTTCTGCAATGCCCGGGGATCCTGCCGGTCTGTGCTGCTTCTCCAGCAAAGTTCTACTGCCACCTCTGCATGAAACACTTACTCCGCTGAGGGGACTAATAGCCGGCTCCCATCCCGACTCCAACCACTTCCTTAAACCAATTAGGCAATACAACAACTCTATTCAAATGACCTCATTGGGGCTCAGGTGTTTTGATAAGAGGGTCGGATGCCCACTTTCAAAGTACAGGGGCAGGTATACCACCGCATTGTGTCTCTGCTGCCTGAGGAGACCTCTACGCCTAAATTCCTCTAACTGTACTTTATTGCAGTCTACAACCTACAGGCTGAAACCCGGATTGGTATTTTGCCGCCATCAGGAAGAGTTCCTGGCAGGGACGTCATACTACTACTTCAGGCCATGCTTCACGAGGTTAACAGCTACATTCGCAGTTTCAAATATTCTTTGGAAAATGCTCTTTTTCCTTCCTTCAGCACTGTAATTGACGTCGACAAATGGCCTCATGATGAACACGAACGCCGCTACAATGCTCCTGCGTGCAACGAAGTGGCCGCTATTATACATGGGGAGTAAGACCGCGCTCGCGATATTGTCCTCAAATCAAGAGGCGGCACTCTTCGCAGGATTTCAGAGACCCATCGATCATATGACACATTGTAGTACCCTTTACTTTTCCCTTATGGTGACGATGGCTACCACTTCGGCATTACCCTTCATACTCAGGGTGGCCAACCTACAACGTCTTCCAAAGCCTTATCGTGCAAGGCCTTCTACTCATACTAGTTCATGGTTAGAGATGGAGACTTCAACCTGCTTCATAGATGCAGGGAGGTTTTCCACCAGTTTGCGGTTGACATGACCGCTAAAATGGAATCGGAGAGGCTTTGTTTTATACGGAATCACCAGAAACAGCTGCGCTCAAACTCCTACGTATTCTTACCCGACATCCTTCGAAATGAAATCAATCCCCGCGACCTAGGGAAGATGTGCATTCTGCCCCCTACCTAAACTGGGGGGCGTTAAATACATGAACGCACGCAGGACGATATGACATACGTTATGCAATATGGGCGACCAGACTTATTTATAACGTTTACCTGCAACCCCTGATGGTTGAGATAACGCGTGAACTCCTACCCGGACAGGATTACACTCACAGACATGACATTACCGCGTATTCCGCATAAAACTAGGAAAACTTATGGACCTAATTGTGAAGGGGCTAATCCTACAATGAAAACGCAACCACTATTTTACATTGCCAGAACTAAAAATCTTGATCGATTATGAACGGGTGGCAGTTTTCGGGTAAGCACGGAGCAGCAACCCAGCAGCCACCTATTGCAACCGGTTGACCTTGATCTCATTGATTTTGCTACCAGTGAGATTCCCGGCCTATCAGTGACCCCCAACAACTGCGGATACGTGCGTAAGTTCAATAATTCAAACCCCAAATCAATTCTAAAGGGCTTTACTACTAGTATATATATATATATATATATATATATATATATATATATATATATATATATATATATATGATATAATATAATATAATAATATATGATTATATAAGGTTAATAAATTATCTTTCGAATCTGTAGACAAGAAAACGTAGCCCATTCTTCAATCCATCAGAACAAAAAGAACAACTGATTTTACACATTGCCTGTTTGTTTTAAACCTTCATCTTTGAAGACAAATTCAAAGCATTTTTTGTCTTTGATTAACAGCATTCGAGATGTTGAACAGAATTATGCGTTCAATTCTCGCCTGATCCTTAATCATCAGGCGAGTGAGTTATTTCTCAAAGAAAAACAGAATATTTGAATCAGGATTGATTAGACATTGATCCAGGACATTAAAGGTAGCCATTTGTTATTCACAGTCAATATTAGTCGTGTTTGGACTTTCTTTGCATCTTCCGTAACTACCAAACTCGCCACATCTTTTGTCATATTTATCTTACTATCTACTTCTCTTTTTATCTACATCATGATGACTCATCTATCTATCTATCTATCTATCTATCTATCTATCTATCTATCTATGTGTGTGTGTGTCTGTGTATGTGTGTGTAAAAGTGGACATTTTATTTAATAATCCGAGAGATTATATTAATTCAAATTATTTTTAGTGAATACTCATATTTTGGTAGTCGGTAGGTTTATTTTTTCAAACAGGATATTTATATATTTTCGTCTGAATACTTGTGAAATTTTATTAAAGCAAAATATATGGGCTCCCTGACGATATTCGAAGCACAGTTTCTCTGGGGGTCCATGAACCCCAGGTTAAGAAGTCCGGCTATAGAAATATTTGTATTTACGTGCCTGCTAGATTTTGACATCAACAATACGTAGTCCACAATTCCGACTGTCTCTTTTGTAGATAACTATATATTATTTTATGTCACTTTCTCTTTCTTTTTATTTATTTATTTTTTTGTTTTTTCGTTTGCCACATCTAAGGACGACGACGAAGAGATACTATAGTTGCACGAAGGCCACATATTCATTTTATAATACGAGGCTGGAGAGAAGATTCAAACCGAAAATATTCTCGTGAATTTTGACGGGTATTACGCTAGAATAATAAGTAATCGACATCTATGTTACTTAAGCTTTTAATTATTCCTGGCAACTGTAAATACAGGTTTTATTATAAAAGTTCATTCTGTATTTGCTTTTTGTTGTTTTCACATGCACAGAAAAGTTCAGTGAAGAAAATTGCTAAAACTTATATTTTAATCCTACCTATGATATCAGGCGTGTAATTTTTATATATGATTATTTCTGCTCGACCTTGAGAACAGATGTCTATTTTAACATTTTATCCTAAGCAATAAGACGCAGTGGTTTTCTGAGAAAGAAGGGAAGTGAGAAATCGTTGCTGATGAGAAAGGATAATAAAAAGAATATGGTTCGAGGAAGATAACAATTGATGTTGAATTTAAATTTTCGAAGATCGTAGTTGGCAGGAAAACAAGAAATTAGAAATGTGATTTACAGGTGAGAAATGCAAGAGACAAAACTATGAGAATAAAACATATGGTTACATTTAGCAATTTCAACAGTCAAAGTATGACACCGAGCTGCAAATTTAGTTCTACGCTTTAATAAAGTCGCCGTGACAAAATTTAACAAGTACTGTGTAAATATTTATAGATAAACTACAGTCATCTGTATGGCGATGAGAAAGTAACTGAAGGCTGGACCAGCTTAGTAAAATTACTATTTCTTCTTCTTATGTCAAGAATCGCTAGACACCAGACCAGACCAGACCAGACCAAACCAGGCCCGACCAGACCAGACTCGACCAGACCAAACCAGACCAGACCAGACCAGACCAGACCCGACCCGACCAGACCAGACCAGACAAGAACGATATTCGGTGTACGAACAAATAAATGCTTTACGAAAGACAGTTTCAGGTGTCTAGCGCGACATAGTGAACCAAGTCCCTTAACAGCACACTTAGTAACTCACTCCGTATAACTGTTCCAATTAATATCAACAGAAAACTTTAGACCGAGAATATGCCATAAATTAACCTTGTGCAGGTTAGCATAGGACATGCTTATGGAAGGCAAAATAATTTTTCTGTATGACGCAGTTTGCTTTTGGGGACGTTAAAATTAACGTCCCATCACTTAACGGTTCAAAACGCGCACACACACACAATAGCGTGCACGCGCACATACATACATACATATGTGTATAGCTGGCCACTCGTATCAGAGGATACCTTTCTACTAGGGCGACTAGCCAATCCCTATTGCAGACGCTCGATCAGGCACATTTGTGTTTCACAGAGCCCACCTGTGGTTTATACACCAGGTATGCTGAGCAGAACTTAGTTACAGTTTCTGGGAAAGGGCATGTTGTGACACCATTTAGGGTTGCTGGAAGAAGAAAAGAAAAAGAAAGAAACAAAAAAGAAAGGCGAGAGTTATATTTAGATGATAAAAAAAGCCATCACGAAAGGGATATTAAGCGGTGTTATTTTGACAAGGAAAAATGGTGAAAATTTTTATTGCCATTGTCGAGAATTCTAAATAGATAAAAATTATCTGTGTCATGGTGGCGAACTTATATTATCGGGAATAGATAACGCCAGGATGTGAAAGCGTCTAACGGGACAACCGCTTGGTGATGGCGAAAAGCTAATTGACAAATTCCAGGATTGGCCAAATAACCTCCGAGACAGAATTCTAAATAGATAAACATTTAACTGTGTCATGGGAATGCTATTTGGGGCACAGAATTCTAAAGAGATAAAAATTTAATAGGTTGTCCGTTGACCACACACGAGTTGCAAAAACAAAAGACCAAACCATAGTTTAAGTCTTTGTCGATAGGAAGATGTCGTTGGACAAGGCATCTGGGTTGTGTTGGAGTTTGACAATGACAGCGAAACTATTTTATCAGAAATTGGCGAAAATTTCGTTGACGACTTCCATATGAATTCGGCTGTGAATTGGCGAAATTGTTTTATCGTATCAGTGGTTGGCGCCGGAGAGTGAGTATGTCTGGTTGACCACCCACTTGTTAATTGGCAAAAATCTCATTGATAGGTACCAGGTGACATTGAGGATAAGAGCTGCGATTAAGGGACCACACTACGAAAGAAAAGAGAAAGAAAGAAGGAAAACGGAAAAGAAAAAGAAAAGATATTTTTTTTTTCTTCGAGCAAGATTTTTTTTCTTGAAACCAAGGCTAGTCTAGTCACACCCACACTGCTGAGCGCCCATTGGATGAATGTTAACGAGAGCCAGGCAGAGGTGATCATGTGATGCAGGGGGAGGCCTGCTACCACCCATTGAGATGTCACTGTGAGAGAGAGGGAAAACCATTGACGCCCTCTGAGGGTATGGTGAGATACCCATATGAGAACAGAAGAAGGTGGGAGGACGGGAAGACTTCCAAAAATGGAAAGGAGTGGAAATTTCCTGACCGTGGATTTAGAATTATCAAGGAACCTCAAACCCCGACGAGCCCACCCCGGTTTTGGGTCGGCGTTCATATAAGCAAAGTCGCAGCGAGCGAAAATCAGTTCGAGTTCGGGCAGTTTCAAGCAGTTGCAGTGAGCTGAAAGCTTTGAAGACCGCCTCGCAGAGCTGACTTGAAAGCTTCACGCAATTCCGAACTCATCTTTTAACCAAGAGCAATTTATTTTTGAAGAACGACTGAGACTCATACCACCAAAACAAGTTTTTTACGAATATCGCCTGAAGACACACCAAGAACCAGTTTCTTAAAGAACAGACAACTTAAGATGTTAAGAATCGCCTAACAAAAACAACGTGTCACGTATCCATATAGCGGGTTGGGAAATAGATCCAGTCCTGTATCCAGCAACCAGATATAAAATATTGTTATCCTTTTTTAACACATTTGAACTTTTCGAGTTGTTATTTTATTTTCTGTTACATCTATTTGTGCGATATCGCCCTTATTCGAACTTAGCTTGCATTACTGCCCCGACGACTGTTTGATTTCGTCTGCCTAAGATCAATTCACAGCGTGGGTAGGTAGACTGGAAATCAAAGTAGTTACTTCGCTAACCAGACGTTGGCGGCGAGTTGGGAACGACGAGGCTGATATCGAATCTAACCAGATTCCCATCCGAATCAGCAAAGGGTTAGAATGTCACATTTGGGTGCCGCGACGAATACCAAGCCAGTTGGTCATCACAGGACGGGATAGCACGACTGACGCAGACAGGCGGACGTCACGTTTGGAGCGGCGACACCCGGGGGGGCGTCACAAAGTTATCTAGCGTGATCAACTATTTGAACAAAGCCAGCGCGCTCAAGCCCTCGGCCACGATGACCTTTGACTTCGAGCTAGCCAATTTCACTCAAAAATCTTGTGTCAGCCCTTGATATGGTTTTCGACCCGCCTAGTCCGATAGTATCAGAAATCGACCATGGTGAGATTTTAAACCGGTTCTTATGATCAGAATACGAACGTTCTAAACACTCGGCCACGTGCGCACGCACCTACATATATACATACATCTGGAGGCACAGTGGATTAATGGGTTTGCTTTTCGGATTGATAAATCGGAGAGCCGAGTTCGAATTCCAGTCGAGTTCATTACATTCACTTACGTAATAATAACTTTGAAAAAGGCTTGAATCCATCTCTTCTCTAGCCAGTTATAACTAAATAGCAGGACAGACTTGGTTCTTTAACCTTGTTGTGGCAACCGGTCGAAGAGAAGGACAACTCTAAATTCAAAACCTGCAGAGTGTCTTTTGGGGACGTTGTGACATATTGTTCACTGTTTCTCTCTATTCATCTCTTCCAAATGGTAAAAGTTTGTAAAATCTTGTAATGATCAAAACAGACGTTTAGGATAACAGAATTATTGTTCAAAATTAAACACGCAGAAACCAAAAAGCAAGGTTCGAGTTCAGAAATTTCCTTCTCCTAGACTGGTTGCCATCTAAGGCAAGGCAGCTTAATCAGCCCGGCTATTCAATTCTTTGTTGGTAGATAATGCTTTTCTATGCTTTTTTCAGGGGCATTATCACGAAATGAATGCAAGAGAATCGACCACAATTTGAAATCGGCACGCTGATTTCCCTTTGCTTTGACACACTCCACATCACACACACACACACGCACACACACACACACGCAAAAGTGTGTATATATATGTGTATGTGTTTGTGCTAGTTGCTTGAATCTTTCTAGTAATTTCGTACATTTCTACAGTTTATTATATTCGGTCAATATGCAATTAAACGATATCTTTGCTATTACGCAATGTAATTATGTCTCTTTCCGAGATATTACTTGTGTTCACCTCATGACTTTTGTGTACGCCTGCGTACGTGTGTGTGTGTATGTATGCATGCGTCTGTGTCTGTGTTGTTTATTTATTTATGCGAGCTTTTTACGTAATTCGTAGTCTCACGGATAATCTTTATCAAACAAACGCGTCAAAGCTTTCATTCGATCTACTGATCAGATTGCAAAGGACAAGTTCTGACAGTCGGGCTGGAATGAAAAAATCGCGGTTTTCATTTGTAGACGGCATT